TCCTTCCCCCCATCTCATTTTTAATTATCCATTTGGAATTGCCTCTCTTCACAATTCCGCACCGTGTCTCCCGACTCATGACATCTCAGGGTCCTGTAAAGGTTTACCTTACAATGTCTCAGGATCGCATCGAGGGGTGCTGCTCTCTGAGCCAGTCCCAGCTTCCTGCTAAGCCCACAAGGAAGCCCTCTGTAAAGAAGAGGCCTGACAACCGATGGCTGGGCCAACCCCCTCGCTTTCAGGGAAGTTCTTTTCATTGTCCAGCCCTCCCTTGGACTGCTTGCTGCCTTGTGGTCAGAAAGAAAGACATAGCCACGGCGCATGGTGGTCAGCCTGGCAGTTGCTAGTCGGCTCCCTTTGATTCTTCAATCATCCCTCCCCACCCTCACCTGACTGAATCCAACCTTGACCATCACTCTTTAACTCTTGGTTTTTGGCTGCAGCATTGCCACTGCCCCCCCCCCCCCTTTGCCAGTTTGATTGCCCAGCAGGGCCCAGCCACCCTGACTTTACCCGACCCCTGGGCCTGGGAGGTGGGGGAAGGCAGCACGCAGAGGCCACGTAAGGGCTGACCTTGCTCTCTGGTCCCAGAAGAGGGCCCGGGCCCCCAGGCTCAGGAGGGCAGCTCCTGTCCAGAGCTAGGAGGCTGCTTTTTTCCATGGAAGAGTAAGCAGTAAACTGCTGGGCCCGGATGGGGTGGGGGTGGGGCCCTGGCTTCTCCCAGGACCTTGGCCCCTGGCTGCTCTCCAGCTTGAAGAGGTGAGGCTGTGCATACCTTGGATCAGCACACTTGAGGCCATGAGCACAGCTGCCAACGATCAAAGGGAAGGCCTCTTGGGGGCTATTTGCTCTGCCCTCTCCAGTTCCCCCCAGGGAGCGTACGGTCCAAGACTCCAAGCCAAGTCGTCCAAGGGGAGGACGTGGGGAGGGAACTTCAAGCTGTAGCCCCTGAGGCTTGTAGCACCAGGGCCAATGCCGACATCGCAGAGAGGAGAGTTCTGGAAACAGGCCCTCTGTTGGTTCCTGGGCTGTGTGGTGTCCCTTCTGCATGCACTGGGCCTCCTTTATCACGGGCACCCAGGACTGCAGCAGGGGGGTGGCTGCTCTCTGCCCAGCGGCCCTCCGGTGCCACCTATCAGCCCCTCCACCCAAAAGCACATTGAGATTGTCCTAATGCCTACTCAGAGACAGCCCTTTGCCAGGTCACTGGGGAATTCAGGTTGGTTCAAGTCAAGCCACAGGGAGTCTGCCCAGGACAGTGCTGGCCCCTGGTAAGACCCATGTAGGGATAGCCTAAGGTACAAAGTAACCACAGGAGGACCTTAAAAGCTAGGAAGCTGCCATCTAGATGCAACAACGGGTCTCTCCTCGTCAAGAAGAAAGAAGAAAACCAAAATTAATGGAAACAACCAGTCCTAGAGACTGGTACACCATCCGATCTGCAACCTATACAACTATGAGACCAGAAGAACTAGATGGTGCCCAGCTACCACTGCCATCCACTTGGAAGGGATGTAGGAGATGCTGCATAAAGAGGGAGAACAATGTGGTACAAAACTCAAAATCATTTGGAGGCAAAAAAAAAGAAAAGAAGGTGGGGATCAGGTTTGCTGGTCCAATGGAGCCTGGTGTAACCACTGAGACTATAGCCCCTAGCTGCCCTTCAGGTCTGGAATTGAACCCACAACTGTGGTTTCCAGCCAAACAAAGTACAGGCATGTGAGTTAAACATTTACCTCAAGTAGACACACGCCCTGGAGAGAACAATCATGGGAGAAGGAAGGGCTGCTTATGCACAGGGAGATAGCTCAGGGTGCAGAAGAGTATGAAGGGATGGACACTGGGAGGAGGTAACTATGGGGAGGAAGTGGGAGGGGAGCTGCTGCATTGTAAATTTTGGTCAATGTCATGAGACAAAGTATATGTGAACTGCTGTATGAAAAGTGAATTTACTCTGTAAATCTTCACCCAAATCCTAAAAAAAAAGTAACCACAGGAAAGAGCAGGGGAACCCAGAGGCCCAAACCCAAAGAATGTAGCGTGAGATACTCCAGGGCAGTCAGCCGTGAGAAGAGCACATCCACCTGGTGGCGATGCCATCAGACCCAGGAGACGATACAGCCGGGTCATCACGTAGGGCTCCCTGTGCACATCATGGGTTACAGTGCCCTGGTCCTTGGGAATGGCACGTGCGCCTGTAATCATGAGCTCATGGCTCAACCCTGAATTTGCCCACTGGGGGTGAGTGGACTTGGGGAGTATTCTGAAACTCTGGCCATCCCCCACTTACGCACGAGTGATGAAACAACTACTCCTCTCAGCGGAATCGGCTTTGTGTCAT